AAACTATTTGTTGCTTTTATTTGGCCACCCATTTCCACGTACAAGGCAAGTCTTACGTCAATAACTAAGGAGCATAAATCAACTTTGTCAGAATAGTAATAACAAGTAGCAGCAGAACAAAGAACACAAGAAAAATCCTTTCCCCAGAACCAGCATCTGTTGTGGACCTTCTGTTGCAAATCTTTGTGTTGCTTCATGCTGGTCAAGGTTTGCATTTCACAATGACGTTCTTAATTTAAATGACAAAATATGATGTGAGCATTTTCATATTTTATTAATAAGGAATGGTTTACAGCCTTAGTTGAAGATGGCCATTTGAAGACTTTGAAGTTTTCAAAAATTAGTGCAAAATCTCACATGGGGTATGCAAATGTACTGTTCATCCCTTATGGTTGCTCCTTACACTGACAGGAAAGCAACAAGACCACGGCCATCAGGGCTCATAGGAAAATTAAATACCCACAGAGATTATAAACAAACAGGAAGGAAGAAAACTAGAAATAAGAATGGAATAATCATTCTTTGGAATACAGGATTTAAGAAATGGTGCATAACAGTTGCTGTAAATCAAAAAATCCAGCACAGTAAAAGCTGAAAGGCCTTTCCTTTGACCAAGTTAAAGCTCACTGACACAGAAGCAATGTAGAAACAACCTTCACTCAGCAGTACCAATATAAGGATGTTACAGTAAGACTGAATACCCTAAGTGACAAGAATGAAACAAGGAAAAGACAACCTGATATGTTCAGGGCATGCTGCATCTGCTATGGACATCACAAAGCTACTGACATGTAGTACAGCATTAGATCATGCATTGTATGTCATATAGACATATTTACTTACAAATTTTAGCAAATGTCTATCCCAAGACATCATCATCATAGGATTATAGAACAGTTTGAATTAAAGGGGACCTTAAAGATGGTCTAGCTCCAAGCACCTGCCATAACCAGGTATACCTCCCACTGGACCAGGCTGCTCAGGCCCTCCCCCAGCCTAGCACTGAGCAATTCCAGGGATGGGGTATCCATAGCTTCTCTGGGCAGCCTGTGCCAGTGCCTTACCCACCCTCTGAGTAAAGAATTTCTTCCTAACTTCTGATCTAAATCTACTTTCTTTTAGTTTTAAACCACTGTTCCTCCTTCTATCACCACACTCCCTGCCAGAGTCCCTCCTCATCCTTCCTTTAGGCCCCTTCAGGTACCGGAAGGCCATCACAAGGTCTCCCTGGAATGATCCTTCAGCTGTCATGAACCTAACTTCGCACACAAGTTCCCAAAAAACATCCTGTAACATCTCAGTGATGGTTTATTATCACAGTACTTTGACAAAAAAACTCTGTCAGAAATCTGACCAAGTGTTAGGCTTTCCAGTTTCATCTATGCCATTTCATCTGACAGTTGTCTTTTCTTAGCCACACGAAAGTGGATGTCAGTAGACAGATGGAGCTCTCTGTGAAGACCTTGGTCCATTTATTCCAGGCAGGAATCGCGCACTCTCTGCCTATCATTCCTTCCTAGATACAAATACGTACAACCTCATACAGGGCTTGCAAATCTGGCATATGTTAGTTTATCAGAGCAAATTCAAGTTCTACATTAATTCCTGCATTAATAAGAAAGTTTAAAATCTCTGGTTACACTTAGAATAAATTTGGAGATAAGTAATGGTTCGTCCATTACTGTAACTTGCCTACTGCACTCATGCTCACCAAAGCAAAGAATAAATCACAGATCTACAACTTTAGTCAGTATTGGTCCAACATTTAGTTCTCAGAAGAGAGAAGAAAATACTGACATCCTCAAGCTAACTTCACCTGTATTAATTGGAGAGCACCAACAAAACTTCTTTTATTCTGGAACTCATCTTTACATACAGAATATAATTATCTGTAAATGCAACACAGTCCTCCCAACCTTATTTAACATACATCATACACACAGCTAATTAAAGTTAACCTGATTTTGCTACTGCTATTTATATTCCAGTATATGATTTTAATATTGGGTTGATTGGTTTCATGTCAATTAATTTTCCCAATTTAAGGAGGAAAAAAAGCCCAAAATGAAACAAAAACTAATAGCCTGTGAAGTTTGGAACTCAGTGAGCAGGCAAGGTGAAACATAAAGGTCACTTTGCACTGAGATGAGCTTAATGGGGAACGTGCAGCTGGTACTGATGGACCTCCAGATTTTCTTCAGTTTAAGACAGTGTTGCTGCAGAGCTTTGGTGATCATTGGGCAGCACTGGCAAATATATTAAGTTTCATTGAAACATTAAGCTTGTCTTCTTAAAAATCTCTTGTCTGAGAACAGCAACCCTGTTGCCTGTCAAGATTAGAAGGGAGAATATGAATGTTGATGTCAGAAGTTCGAGCAGCTGCTCAATGATCTGTCAAAATATCTTGCTGGATGCCTGCAGAACATGCCCAAAAGTGATTTTCAGTCTTCAAACTATTATCATCCAACCAGCTTTTTTCAGAATCAGATAGGGGACAAATTCCTCACTCAATCCCATTTATATGTAAAGTTTCTATTTCAAAGTTTTGATACTGAGTCAGCTGCAGTGGAAAAATGAGTTTATTTTCCTAGGGGTAAGTTGTATGCTCTTCAACTATGCTTGAACGAATTTTCTATAACCTCAAGCCTTGAATCAAGTATATCAATTCTGAGACCAAGGAAAACTGTGCTTAAATAAAAGCAGATTATTACCTAAAACCAAAGAAAATTGAGTTTTCATATTAAATCTTGTACTTTCAAGAGGATGCTGGACAAAAAATAAATCTTCACATAAAACACAATTACTCTTTCTTATATAAATAATAGAGCAAGTACTCAAAATTTCTGTGTACATTAGTTATATTACAAGGATTAGCAGACTGTTGCACTGGCAGTTTTTCACATGAGCAAATCATTTAATTAGATTCTAGGATTTGATGTTTTCCATCTACGACTGAGAATATTTAATAAGATTTCAGTAAAACAATTCTGTGATACTAACTGAAATACTGCAATCAGAAGTAAATGTGTGCACTTGTCAGGAAACTCAAAGCAGGAAATGTTGGACCACAGATGTCAGTTTTGAAACTGAGCAAAACAGTGCAGTGAGAAAGCCAATTTCTTTCTCCTTTTCCCTATGAGATATGAAGTGAGGAAAGAAACTTGGAAAGAACATCAATACGGCACTACAGAGATGTTCAAATAAACCTGGGGTGGGCAAGAACCTCCTTGCGTGTCTAATCAGAGGAACATTTCTGTTATTTCTGAAGAGCAGAGTGAAATTCTGCTATAAATGTGGGGTGCTCCAATATGGCTGAGAGTTGCCTCCAGCTTGCCAGGATAATTGATTAGTCGGTTTATTTGTCTTCATCCACAGAGGCAGGGATCAGCTTGTGGTCAGAGGAATAATTCTGGTGGTGACAGCCCGTTCTTGGCTGCCTTTCACTTCTCTGCTCTGACATAATTAAACCGGGCTGCTTTCCCATAGTCTTACGATAGAGAAGCAGACAAAACCGCAGCTAGGGGCAGGCTGTCTCTACCAAAATATCTCATCTGGCCTCTACCAAAAGAGCTCTAAATCTAGGTAGAATCTAGGAGTAGATGCATAACATTCTCTGGGCAGCAGTGTCCTCTCAGTCACCCTTTTTCATTCCAAAAATACCTCATACACACCAGATGAAAACTGTAGGTCTCATCCTACAGAAGCCTTGTAGCCCAGTGCAGTAGGTGGAGTGTATGCTGCTGTCATACGATATGCTCAGTTAGCTACAGCACAACTGGACTGAAACATCCATGCTCTCATACAGGAGACACCCAAAGGTTAAAAGTGGCTCAAGTTATACCTTGGAAATACTGTTGGTGCATATATTCAGCATTTCTTCACTCATTTTTCAAGAGCATTTAACCTATTTCCCCACGTCAGGTGAGTGCTCTCTTTAAAGAAGTATCAAGATCCAAAATAAATTTATGACACCGTGAGCACTGTTGTCTACCTATATACCCATTTTCTACCCTCAGGGCCACACTAATATTCCCCATCTAGGATAATACTTTTCCAGAACATTATATGTGATATGGAGACTGTTGCAGAATTTTAAAATTAGATAAGTAATTGGCATAATGGATACTAAGCAAGAGATTCTCCAATGATTTTAACTGACACATTCGGGTAGAATTAAATTTATCCAGAGAATTAAATCTGCATCAAATGAATGTCAAGAAGCACACAGCATAATCTAGGACTACTTTCTATGTTTTGCATGACTAGCATATTTACAGAGATGTCCTACATCAAATAATTCTTATTTTGTCATTATTATTCAACATCATGAAGAACCTGACAGTCTTACAAAAAAGAATTGGATTTATGAGATCCTAAAACTATCAGACAAAAGAGTTCAAAGATTTCAGCAGCAATTTAGATAATGCACAGTCATGCTCTATAAATTTAAAGTAGATCAGGGGGTGTGATACATCTGTATTTTTTCCCATAGTGCAAACAAATACTACGGTGCTGGTTTTTAACACATGGTATCACAACTATCCTGCAAAACATCAGAGCCAAAATTGAGAATAAAATCTGCTTAAAGTCTGTTGAAAAATCCCAACAACCAAGTAAAAAGACTTTTCTGTACAGCTCCTGGACTATGTGAAGATACACAAATCCATGCAAACTAAGACACTTAAGGTCCAAGTTTCAGGAAATTTTTCAGTCACCCATTCTATCTGGCTAAATTGTGCTAGAGAAATGAAAGGTGCATTTCATAAAAACCTGAAATCCATGTGGTATCTCTTCACTGATACGTTGCTTTCCTCATTAAAATTCCTTAGACCTACTCAAAATAAAGCAACATTATCTTCTCTGAACTGTTGTGACAAACCTGCTACAGCAGAATATCATCATTGATGTGCGTAATATTAATCTGTCTGCTCATCTTTAATATGGTTCTGCCAAGTCTCTCCTACCTCCTCTCATGTCCTTTACCTACGGATGATGCTCACCTTCTCCCACACACGATCTTTGTTCAGTACGATCACCACCAGCCTGGGGTGTGCCTGATAACCATCAGCAGTGAAGGACAAATCTTTACCTTCCCAAGTCACGTTCATCATAAACCTGGAAAAAAAAAAAAATCAGTGAAAAATTAATCAGCTGTCCAGTGGTTAATGAGCAAGTTAATTCAGTCATCAGAAGCACCAATGAAGTCCACGCACTAAATCCTGTTAATGCTGTAAAAAAACATGAAGTCTGTAAGGTTAAGTTTAGTAAAGACTCAGTTTGCAAATGTGGAGATGCTGAACAATTTTGGGAGTCTTAACAGAGAAGAAAGTACAATATTGTTTGTTAAAAATAATACAATTCATAACACAGACATCATTTTTAAAGTAGTTTCCACATCATGTATGACTTATCCACTCCATGAATCATCTTTTTAGCATTCTGCACAACCTCACCAGCTCTTCAGCACCACTGTAAATACATCAGACCTGCATATAATATCACACTTTGGTCTCACTGCCATAATAGCCAGTGGACCTAGACTTGTTCACCTACTCAGAGCTCAGTGTATGAGTTGACATTGCAGCTTTCAAACTGTCCTTGTGACATGAATCATTTCCACTAATGCCTTCAGCCAAAGAGCAGTAATGAAGGGGTTGATAATATTTCATTTCAATATTTTTAAAAAGAAAAAAATGTAATTTTTTAGTTTTGATTGACTTTCATTATTTTTCAAAACATACATCAACTAATTAGCACTTCAGATAGGGGGGAAAGAAAGACATTTCAAAAGGTTTCAAACTAAAACGTACAGGGAAAGGAAAGATTTCTTTTTTCTTTTGTTGAAACTGTTGGTTTAATCCCAAATTTCCAGCCTTTACATTTGAGCATTGAATCAAAAACTGCTTACCACACATCTCCATGCAATAGCTATAAAACTGAAAATCTATGCAACTGAGTTTTTTATTGTTATTTTTTTTTAACAAATTTAAGTCAATAGAAGGCTATTACTCAGAAAGCTACTACACGTGTCACCTCTCCTAAGATGGACCACAGCACTATTTGCTTTCCCTATCCTCCTACTCTATTGCCACGTTAAGCTGCATGTTCTAAAAACAGAAAACCACTTTTAAGCAACCCTGTCATTAACAATGATTACATCAACTATATCAAGTCATTGTCCCTGAAGTTTTGAAATTCCTTAGTTTTTACTAATTCTAGTATAATCTACCTAGTTTAGTAAATAATGTTTTTATTTCCCAATTATTGCTCTCCATCTGTCATTGAAACATGTAGCCTCTTCTCCAAAGCACTGTCCTTTAGGTGATTCAGAAACGTTGGCATTCTGGCCATTCAGAAAATTCTTTTTGCTCCAGACTTGTTTCAAAAAACTTTTTTCTCCTCAAAATTTTCCACAGAATTGCAACAGAAATCCGTATCTATATTTATTCCAGTTCTACACAGCTTCAGTGTTTCTCAGTGAGAACAGATTGCTTCTACTGCTCCAGGGTCAGAAAGAGTGATGAGAAACTGCACTTTTTATTTAAAGCACAAATATGGGGATCTTGCTGCCAAGAGTCTCAAGTAGAGGAGCGCATAGGCCACGCTCCCTGGACTGAGACACTGCAAAAATCTATCATTTTGCACATTGCCCAAACTCCCACACTTAGGAAAATCAGGATGAAAGGGAAGTCGGTAAAATGATGGTAGTGGCATTGGTGTTCTTTGGCCAAACTGAAAAAAAAAATAAAATCCAAACTCATGGTTATCAACGTGAGCCTGACCGAGCTATTCTGTGAGTGAGAGGAGAAACTGCATGCCCCATCCTAATGGGAGACCCAGAAGACAGCAGACTCTCCACCCTATATCTGTGGTCTGAAACAGCCTGGTTCCCAGGCTATTCTATGAGATAAAACTCAGTTCAGGTTTTCAGCTACAAGTTCTTCTTGAACTCCTCACTTAACACCTCTATTATCCAAGCCCTCAGAGAGATGTGCTTAAAAGTTACTCCAGAAACTCCTCACTCATTGCACTGTGCTTTTATATCTACAAGAAACAGATGCAATTTTACACGGTGTATTTGTTTCTACAGTAGCAGTGTGGCCTCCTGGTGAATCTGACATAGAAATAATTCTTCAGCGTCACGTTCAAAGGAGAAGGTTTTGTGTAGACTTAGCTGCCTGAAAATCCCAGCAGCAGAAAGCACACTAAATAAAAGAAGATAGATCCAGGAGAAATAATGATATTGTATCATAACAGTTAATAATTAAATGAACACTGCCCTAAACAACCATATTAACACCATTCAGCACCGGTTTGACAGCAATTTATAAATTCACCCATCACAGCAACTCATATTTTATGACAGAGTTCCAGCGTGAAAATTTTCCCCTCGGCAGAACTTTGCTTTTCAGTTGAACTAATTTCCCATACACTACATTTTTCATCCAGCACTGAAAGAGCTTGCTCAGGAATAAAAAGCTTGTTTGCCACCTCGGGAGCAAGCAGCAAACCAGCAGGCAGAACTTGCTGGCAGGTATGTGTAAGAAGCCAGCACAACGCTCACTCACTGCTGAAAATTAAATGTGCTGTGACCCAAGGAATAGCATGCTGAGGGAACCACCACCAAGGAAAACTAAGGACATGATGTGAAAGCAGGCACTGCTTGTATTCATATTTCCCACCATCCTTTATAGGAGGTCTATCCCTTCTGATTCATAAATATGAAACAACCCATACTACATAAGGCTTTGGTGTCCAGTCAGCATTTTCATTATGTAGTCACTGGTGATCAGACTTGAGTTGAACCCTTCTTGTGCAAATTTTAGTTGGATTGTTATCCTTGGTTTCAAACACCACTCATCATATTTTTGAGATTTATGTGCAAATCCTCCAGAGTAGAAGCCATTCGAGCACCATCACAAGACTCAGAGCTGTAGCTGCAGTAATGCTCAAGCACTCAACATAAAAAAGATTAAATCTAAAATGAAAAACATACATTTTAAACTGTGTGATTTTATGAGCCATTTAGTAGTGAAATACATCTTGCAAGCTTAAAAAAAAAAAAAGTCCTCTAATCTGTAAAAGTCTCTTAAATTTTATTGTCATCCACAAAGGTATCGGTGAGTGACGCAGTCTGAGCTACTCCAGTTTCTCAAATTGCAGCAATAAAAAAGAGCTTCAAAGAGATTCTTGTTTCCCTGAAAAGATTCTTCTGTACAAAATTCAACTGCCTGTGTTTTTCAGAACTAAAAATCTACATTCACATCTGAGTTGTTCGTTTTTTCTCCACGAAGGACAGATGTCCTGCTCTGCTTCTGCTGGCCAGGATCCTACACTGCCTGTCTCTTAAGAAAACAACTGCAGGCTGGTTAGGAAGAGTGAAGAAAAGAAAGTATTTAAATTATACACTATTCTTACAGAGATTTAAGTTCACCCAAAATTAGTTCTGTGCAAGACGTCTTTCATTTCTGAATTGTCAATATATATTATCATTATTTGTATTATTTATAATATTATTATTTATATTTTATATGTATTTGAGGTAGTTTTACAATTGCCTATGACTGTGGTGCTTGATTATTTGCACTCCTTACTTCAAGGCAGTAATGCAGCATACACCTTGGATTAGTCGTTAATCTGATTTCATACCTCATTAATGCAACAACCTTTGCAACAACATGATAGCAGGAAGCCCTGTGGTGGTGTTATGACACTGAAGTCTTAATTGACTTTTGCTAACTGAAGTTCATGACTAAGATTCCCCAGGTGATACGTGCATGAAAGATGGGAATTTGGGGCAGAAGCTAAGCTGTTCTCCATACTAAATTCAAAATAGCTTTTTAATCATGCAATGAGCCAAGCCTGTACTACATTTCAAAACACTTTTAAACATTTATACAATTCTTTTCACTTTCCTTAACAAAACTGAAAAGAGAAACGCTGAAACATTCCAACAGAAAACTGTTCACATTGAATTTACAGCAACTCTTTGAAGCACCAAGGTTAAAAAAGTGCTCTTGAGATTTCGAACTTAATGTTTATAGATCTGGAAAAATCAAGAACTCTGTTATTGGATTTGTGAAATCCAGCACGTGGCCTGAAGTTCCCACACGACCCACAACTCCTGCAGCTCACAGCAGCTCAGCAAACTCCTTCCAGTGCCATCACAACAGACTATCATTTCTTATTTAGCCAATTCCTCGCCATGGGGCAGTGTTTTGAGTTTGTGACAAGCCCACGCAAAGGAGAGAAACAGCCAAGACTGAGGGAAATACCAGCTTCATTTAAAAACAAAAACAAACAAATAAACAAAAAACACCAACCCACCTCTCCTCTTCCTCTCCCAAATAAGGGACTTCCAAAATGAGATTTAAAGATGAAATATCTCACAACCAACATCCAAACAGTATGAACCAATCATTTTAATAATCTTGACTGTTTGGGCCTGGAATTCACCCAGGATCATACCTAAAAAAGCAGGAAGGAATCCAAGCTTTTTTTTTATTATTTTTTTTATTAAGCTATGAATTTTTTTCTGCATCTTTTTGGGGCTAAGCTTCTGATGCTATGTGAAATCTGGAAAATATCAATAGAAACTTGATGAAAAGTGATTTATCATTAAGAAATAGCCTTTCTAAAAAACATCTATGAAATTAGTATTTAGAAGTCTGTATGTAAGGGATATAACGTGTTGCATAAAGTATGTGAAGAAACAGGTCTCAAACAGACCACTATTAAACAAGATAATTATGCATTTTTCAAACAGATAAGCATATTTTTCAAGACCATTTTTTTATCATAGGCTATGTAAGATATTTTTTTCCTCACTTAAGGTCCTTCCCAATAATGCAAAGAAAGAGCCTCCTCTCCATGCCTCTTCCTCCTCCTCCACATCCCCAGCCCTCAGCCTCCCGAATATAACTCCTGCTCACAGAGCTGCGCCTCCTTAGGCCTTGAGCCAGCATGGATGAATCAAGTTTTAGGAACAATATGCTCAGTGACTGTGGAAAAGGAATGGCACGCCAACTACTTGTGCCTTGTGCCAGCTGTTCCTTAAAGAACTAGATGACACCAGATCTGGAAATGTCATTTTGCCCCAGTTCTGCCAGACCAGC